AATAGGCTCTGGCACCCCAGTGACCCTGTATTTTTTTAAATGGTAAAACATCTAACTTTAGGGACCGTCTAATGTTTTAGTTCTGTGTACCTACTGTACTGTGTGTTCGAAGAGATTTTGCATCAGTACAGTATTTTACATAAAGAACAAGATCGTTAATTACTGTCAACGTATTTTTGGGGGATTTCCAGTCTTTTCAGACTGATAGTGAGTCTCAGGTGGTAACATGATAATAGTGCTTGATTTATGCAAACTGTTTCTGCATTTAATTGCTTTTACCTAATCCACTAATGTTTGGTTTTGTTCTATTTGTTTGTATTGGTTCAACATATCAGTATCTATAATTCAATTTTCTAATCTCTTTATCCAATACTGTGGGAGAATCCTACCCCATACTGCAAAGCAACAGGCATGAGACAGGATACACCCTGGACAGGATGCCAGTTCATCACAGGGTGCACACATGCAACACTAACATGTGATATCTTAATGTAATATTTTGATTTTGTTAAAAAAGGTCCCATGCAGGGAGTAAAACATCAGGTACTGGCTTCACTGCAAAAAGTCTCCAGCCATTTTTGTTTGTAATAGAATTGTGTTGCTTTGTTATGCAGGGAATACAGACAGGTAAACCACTGTAAACCAAACAAAGAAACTACTTATTGCAACAGGGTTCTTTAGTTGTAGGTACTGTATTCTAATCTACTTGCTTCTTTTCATCCTGTTCATCCACGCCTTGCAATATACTGCTCCAAAGCTAACTTTCCTATTGGTATTCCTGAAACATTGCTCTCTGACAGCATTCAGTGACCTTCCCCTTAAAAACCTCCATTATTTGATCTGTGCTTCTGCTCATTGGAAATTAAGTTAGCTCTCTCTTGAATCCTTAGTCTTAATACATTTTAGCTTTCCAGATATCTAAACACCCGTGAAGGCCCTACCATACCTTTTGGTGATTTTTGAAGATTTAGTTCCAAATACAGATTGCTTTCTGAAAAACTCCAATCTAGAAAAGACTGAAAAACAGTGTGAGAAAGTCCTGGCAAAATTAAAGATAACCCATTTATTTTTTATAATCATATTTCCCAATAATGATTGCTTTTTAGCTTTTTACCACTAGCAATAAATACAGCTCATTTACCTACAGTCACCCTGAAAGACACTCATTTTTCAGATGCACCCCCTGCAGTTTGGTACAATATGCCTGCATCTAATGCTTTTGCAACCATGTGTCAGTGAACATCTGGTGCTTTGAACCTCCCTCTACATAGTAAAAGCATCCTGTATCTTCATAATATTCAGACTTCAATACCTCAATCCCCTGCAAAACATTCCCTAGGTTGAAAATGAATGCTATTGTGGCATTACTGGAGACAATATTTTTATTTTTTATTTACAATAAATTGAAAATTATTTTTGTTATAACCAGTTCTGTTTTTCACACCTTGACTTACAGCCACAAACCCCTCATCCACACGCAAGGGAGAGTGAGGAGATGGAAGCAGGCTTCTCTGGTCCACCCACATTTAGCCATACTTTGCATCTCTTAACCCAGCTCTGTACCAAAGGGTCAATGACAAGTGAAGTAGGAGCAAATACTGTACCCCTCTGGCAGTTACACATGCCTGTAATCCTGGCGCCTCCACAGGGGTTACTGTGTTTCTGAGAGCTTTGGTGACACTTAGCCAATTGTGTGCCACAGTTGAGGGAATCCTGATCGCAGTCGTCTAATAACATGACCCAGGCTCGAACCCATGGTCACAGTGCTCAACCTGTATCCAGGGAAGCAAACTAACTGGTTTAACCACTTAGGAAGATGCAGAATAGGGACAATATCATATTAAAATGAACCCTAAGAGCCTTGCTTTCAACATAAGGAGCACTGGGAGATTAAAATCCTTGTTATGGGAAAATGAAGACATAGCAGTTGTACACTGATATTTTTTGCCTAGGAGTGAGAGTGATTGAATGAATCACTCCGAGTTCGACAGTTTTCTCTTCCACACAGGCAGTTTATAGTCTGCAAAACTCCAAACACCGGCCTGCAGACAACTCATAAATTCTGTGCTGTTAGGAGAAGCTTGTATGAATCCCATTAAACCCAGGGCAATCCAAACTGTCAGTTCAGTGGCCTGCGCTGCTTAGTGGTCTCAGAGGGCGGTAGTGAAGATCATCAGCTCTGCAGCCAGTGCTCTTTTCAGACTTCTCTTCCATGTTTTCCAGCAAGCAATTTTCTCCATAAATATACCGTAATAGTTTTTGAAAGGATGCTTCTAACATGTACCAAAACATTTTTTTAAATGCAGTGCAAGTATAATTTCAAAGAAAACATTACATGGGATAGTTAAAATAAACTTTAAATTTAGGCAATGATGTTATGTTCTTTAAACGCTTCATATGAGGCATTTTGAAATAAGTATGGGTGACATGGCGTGTTTATATGGGATACATCTTAGAAGGTGAACTGTAGCACATGTATCCATCATGTTACAGTGACATAGTGTAGTATGAAAGAGATCATCAGAGACATTCAGGCGTTACAATATACAGTTCGTACTGTACATTATAAGAAAGTCACATTGAAGACAATCTTCAAATTTTTGTTGACAACAATTCAAGATAAAATGTACTGTTCATAAGAAGGTAATGTGAATTGTTGTAGTAAATTATATTTACCAGTTCAGTCTGAATCGCTCATTCACTCAGGACTCAGGACTTCATTTATGTCATTTGCCTCTCTCATTACATCCATAGAAGGCAACAGTTTTTATTACAAAGCACAGGTCTCTCGGGATTAACAAAATGGCTTCATGTTATAGTTGAAAATAGAATTATCCATAGCATTGTTTCTGTATGAGGAAAGAATTAAGTGAAAGTGTAGAATGCACAATACACGGAATATTCTTTTCTTTAATCTGTAAAGTGACAGGGATTACCATTAGCATTTGTTTCTGCCACCAAGAGAGCTTGGTTTGAATACACAGACCAAAGCAAGCATTATATGGATTCTTCTACAAGCGTGTATTGTGCAATTGTTAAATAAGACCACGGCCTAGGATTTATCAGAGAAGCTCAAGGCTGTCATTGCATTGATGTGCTGTACAGACTGAAGCACCTTTTACGCATGTACACGTTATGTTTGCTCATGTGCTCTAACAGGTACCTTTAACAACCATTTGTCATTTGCCATTGGCAGTAGGTGGTGCTCTTACCTCTAGACCAGACTTTCTAATTCAATGCCCCCATTCAGATGGCCTGAATAAATTCCATTCTGGGTTTGTACAATCTGGCTTCTCTAAATTTTCCCAGTAATTCATTTCATGAAGCAAATGTATTAATGTATCATTTTTGCGTGGAACAGTATGTATTCAATCCTATGTGTAGATTGCTTTTAGATTCTTTACGTCGGAAACATATATACAGTTGCTAGGATTTCTTCTTATTATTGTAAGGAGATGTGACAGGGTGTAGTGGGAGGAGCCGCGACGAGCACGGGTAAAAAGTCAACTCCCCGGGTGCCTTTAGCAGGGAGCAAAAAGGCAAAAAGTACCGTTGTACTGCGTTACCTTCAGTCTGGTGAACAGGGCGCGTAAGGTAAAAACAAAACAAGAACTTAGTGCGTAACATAAATGCGTTTGTACGCCTTCCCAGGTGAAAGTGCGTGAGGGGACTGGATACGCCCCCGCGTACTGCCGCAGAGGGCTACGGAAAAGAGATTGCAAACTGCTACATCTTCTAAGCATGTAATACAACCTCTCTATGTCAGGTTAGGCCAGTACCCTCATGAAAATGAGTACTACTTCTGAGCCTGTTTATAACAACATTTCAAATAAACATTATGTTTGTGTTACATGATTAGTAAGGCAAAAAAACGTATTGCTTTTCTAAAGTTTTGCGGAATGTAATATACAGCATAATGTAAGTTCTGTGGACATTTACATTTAAAGAAAATTGGATAGAGGTACTAAAAACAGTATATAAGGCTTCCTTTTCCAGAAAATTAATTCCAGAGCACCTGCAATATCCTTATTTTATGTAGAGAGAAACAGCGCTTTTAATAGCGTTTCTGAGTGAGATTCTGCCACATTCCTCTCTCCATTTGACAAAGTTTGTAATACTGGAGGGACAATGTGTCGGTGCATGAATATATTGTGAATGCATAAACGTTAGGGTCTTTGTGTCTGAATTTAGGTGTTGACCTGGTTGTGACAAAGGGACCTCTTCCGTTAAAGGAAGGGAAGTGTCAGGAGGAGAAATAAAGCAGAGCTAGTCAGGTGGAAGACTGCAACATGTACTGTAGGGAAAGTGCTGTATTCCTACGTGCTGCAGGTTTGCACTGAAACCATCTGCTAACACCTGTGGTACTTTTTTTCAGTGCCGCAGGCATTATGTGAAGCAGTAGCTCCCACTATCTTGGCATAGAGAACATAAATATTTTTGTTTCCCTCTTATGGATCAGTTGTGGAGAAGAGTAGTGTTTGTGCTTCGGACCATATTATATCTTTCTTTCTACCCACCCACCGATCACAAAATACAATTCCAGCACTTGACGGGCACTGTCTGTTTTCCTGTAACGCACAGGGTTTGAGATTTGGCAGTGTGGACAGCCTTTGCCAGAGTCTTAAAGGTGCCAGCATCAGAAATACCCCTGTTGATGTAAATCTCTTCAATGAACTTGTATATGGTATACTCTGTGTGATACACGATCCCAGTGATTATTGATGAGCATGTAGGTTTGTTCGCAGTGATGTCAGATGTTTTAATCAATGTTTATTATGCAACGTGCTGGTTGTAAATATCCTGGTTGTGCACCTCAGTTTGTGACAGAGCTAATTCATTACCTATAGATAACTAATTAATCAAGTGTATTTTTCAGTGGTAATTATGGGTTAAAGTTGTGTATCCTAAATTTTGTTTTCCTTTATTATGCTTGAGAACAAATAAGCATGTAGATTTGATACATCACATTTTCTAATCACTGTGTCCTCTTGCTTTCCCAGTGGCGAGCATACAGAAGCTTCCAGCAGTGTCAGTTTTGACAGACATTAACTTCCCAATGAAAGGCAGGAAGGGTATGGTTGACTGGGCAAGGAACTCTGAAGACAAGGTTGTTATTCCAAAAGGGATCTTCATTCCACAGTCTGAAGGTAACATGAAATTACTTTCCTGGACACATTGAAAATACTTCTCATGCAGTGCAGTTATCTCACCCAGTCTTACTGTTTTTTTTTTCTTTTTGCAGAACTCGATGGATCAACAGTGTTTATTCTTGGAACTGTACTTTACAAAAACCTAGGTCTTATTCTGCCATCCCCAAGGTAAGGCATTTAAGATACAGCAGAATGTTAAAGTATTCAAATATACTACATCACATATGACAAAGGGTGGCAATACAAAAATCATTACTTCTGACAAAATGCAAGGAGGATTTTTATAGAAGTGTGAGTTATCCTAAAATAAAAAAAAAACATTCTAAAGTCTTGTTGAAGCTGCACATTACATTAAAATTATGGCAATTCCTGCTTATAGTGTCAATTATGACATGAATAGATAAAGAGGTTACACCATCCTGCTGTTTTTTTTGTCCTGCTGAATTTCAACAGACACAGCAATAGCACTGATGTCAACCTTATAGTGGATACTGGTATATTTTTATATTATATTACTTTATAACATAGTAGTTTTTGGTCTGATTTATGTCTTAAAGCTAAAATGTTGCTCTGAAATTTTAGTAAATGTTGTTAGACTTAAAGATAATTATTTTTGTTGTTGAGAGTGAATGATTAATGGTTCATGTAATTTGCTCAGAGAAACAGGTTGCTAGATTTAAATTAGGGAAAAGCACAGAGCATCATTTAAGTTCAGAGAAAAAAAAAACCTTTATTTAAAAGAAATTAATTTAAAATCAAATGTTGTACGCTTTGCACAATATGCATTAAATGCTTATTTTTATTAGTATTTTATTAAAATACTATTACAGCTTTAACATCATTATTTTTTTCAGTGATAATGACAAGAGTTCATATCTGTTTTTGATATCTAGTTGCTAATTTGTTAAAAACACCTATTCATTGCTAGACTTACTGGCTAGGCATTTGTAGTAGATGCAGGAATATAGCGATATTGTAACGGCTGTCTTCCTGAAATGGAAAATGAAAATTCTCTAGGGAAGCATGCAATGTTTTGAGGACAAGCCAACTGTCTGGCCTAATCCTCATGGCTGGACTGTCAATCCAGTCTTTCCGCCCTGTGGCACCAGCTTGTGAAGGTGTTAACTCAGAAAGGGCACCCTGTGCTGTTTCAATATTAACACATTCCTGTAGAAACCCAGAGGGATCACATTGACATTCTGAAAATAATTCTAACTTCAAGAAGGATGTTGAGATTTCAGGATTGCAAAGAAGCATTCGGTATATACTGTACACTAGTAATGGCACCTTGCCTTTCTGTTACTTTGTTAAAGGCTTATCTTGGTCTTATCTATTCAAAACTCTCCTGTCTTATCTTTGTACATACAGTACAAAGCAAAGGAAGGATATGCTTCCAAGGAAGCACAAAGCATGGTAGAAGCAATATTATGACCTGGGTATACTTGGCAGTCTCTGTGGAACAATTTTACTCAGTCTACATTATTCTAGATCATGATTAAGATCACTTAATCTGTCCTTTTAAGGCAATCCCCTTTGAACTTTTTTTCTTAATAGTGCATTATAAACATTAAGTATAACGTTTCTGGATTTAAATTCTTCACCCCTTGCTGAATACCACAGCATTGCTTTTTTTATTCCTTTTCAAAATTGCCTTGACAAGCATATAGAAAAATCTACAGAAACACCTAAATCCATTTTATGTGTAGCTTTCTGCAATTCAGAATAACTAATATGATATGTTTAGTGCATGTTGTAACTACCAGTGTGGATCATTTTGCACTTATCAATGTTAAATATCATTTTCCATGTGTCAGCCCAATTCATTATGTTGTCTAAGTCTTCTTGCATTTCCTTAGCCACTCCTATTTTATGTCTATTTTTATCTACTTTGCTAAGTATGTCAGAATCTAGTCTATTATCAATGCCCTATTATCTTGTTAACTATATATTCCCTCTTTTTAATAGTTCTTTTACTGTTCCAGAATTGGTGAAAATGCATTAGTTTTGTTTCTGATGCATTATTCTTTTCTGTCTCTCTTGGCAATTCCAATGTATTTTTCTACTCTGCCTGCAGCTCAGTATACTCTTCTATTCAACTGTGCCCTTTTACACAGTCTGCAGAGCGTTAGCTTCTTTTAAATGTTTCTCTCAGTATGTCGATTAAACAATTTAAGCCATACGTTTCTTGGCATGGATTTCTTTGTTATAGGAATGAATTCATTTTGAGCCTTTAACATTATGTTTTTGAAGCCTTTTTTAGTAAATCTCTATCAATCTTTTCCCAATTCACTTTCCATAAGCTCTACTTCATTCCTTCAAAGCCCTGTCTAAACTTATAAACCCCAATTTTAGATTCTCATTTTAGACATTGAAAGTTTACAACAACAGATATCATACTATGGGCACAATTCCCAGTAACTCTAAAAGGTCTATTCTTTAAACTGAATCCTAGTTTGAAAGGATTAAGTCTGTAAAACTGTTCTTCCAAGCTTTTACAATCTGGATTAATAAGAAGTCATTAAGTATCTCTAACATATAAATTTCAGTTTCTGTGTATATGTAGAAAGTCAAAATATCCCAGTAATATAATTTAACTTATTACCAATTTCATCAGCCTTCATTAGATGATCTGCATGCACCTATTCATAAAGCTTTAGAATTTTTATTTTTCATTGTTGTTATAAAGGGTTATAAAAATTATAAAGTTAAAAGCAACCTTGCATGTAATAAGTAAGGCTTATTGGTTTAACAATTATACAGTCATTGGGCTTCATCTTTGTCTGGAACAACTGATGGAAGTGTTATATATTAGAAGCATAATATCTCCTTAAGTACAATTGGTAGAAAACATGGGAATGTACTGTATGTACAGCATCTTACATCATTTAGCTTACATGAAAGAAAAAGCATTTTTTATTTCCTTTAAATGCTTTTCAACACCTGTAACAGTTCTGCCTCCTCCATGCTAATAATAATGAATAAAGAACATTGTGTTTGCTGTGCCTAAAGCACATTGTCTGTGTATCCTTGGTAAACACATGCATGAAATATTCATTTCATACTTCAGCTGTGCCCTTTCATCATCTTAACATTTCTCTTTTTTTGTAAGACTCAGTGCATCTTTGTGAGAAGCACACCTACTGTAGATGTACAGTGTGTGTACTCTTGGTGCAGACTCTTCATTTTCACCACAGCCATTTGGTTACAGTGCAAACCGAACAAAGAGTTTGCAAGATGAATGTTCACGTCATCATAAAACTGCACAGAATTGCACTTTATCGCCTTTCAACATATATTGCGTATTAAGCTACATGTATTTGTTAATGAGATTTTTTTAAAAGTCAAAACTACACTAGTGTGAAGGGGATATGACGAGAATCAAGGGTTCCAATACAGTATGTGGAAATGCATGTACGGAACATAGTTTTGTTAAAAAGGAACATACAGTATGATGCATGATATTCTTTATTATCATATTCATTCATTTTCCTTCAGATTCTATTTAAGAATAAGCATCTTTTTTACGCTACATATTTTTGTAGTTCATATAGGATGGTGAATACGTTTTCTATGACTGTAGTTTAATGATGGTGATTATAAAATATTAAAGGGAATCTAATTATTCTTAGGGAAGGAGCTCTGGGATTTTTCTCTGCCAGTGCCTGTCAGAGCTGAGCTACCTTATACCATCTGCAAACATCCACCTCACCTAAACAACAGCTGTTGGATTTAATTGGTGTAAGATGAGACAGCAGTCCAGAAAATTATCACATCATTAGATTAAATAAGAGGCAGGGTTGTGCTGAGAATTCTGGAGCACAAGCTCCATTAGATGTGTTTGCATCCAGAATTACCATAACACGGTGTGGGGGATATGTATATACAGTAGATGTGTGCCTGTTACCTTTTTTGCAGTCTTATCAAGAAATCAAATCAAATCTTTCAAGTTAGTAACTCCATTATCAAACACTATATTGTTGTAAAATGTGATTAACTCTCAAATATGTTGGATGAAAAACAACTGTTATTTGTACAAAATGCAAAAAGTAAATAAATTATACAACTTGGCCAAATCCTATTATCTGAAACTTGATAAAGTGTGACAAACATCATTTAAATCACAGAATTGATCAAGATTCTCCCCTTTTTAATAGAGCAGATTTTCTGTGTTCTGAAGTAAAATACCAAAGTGGTAAACAATGCAGAAGATTTTATACAGTTTTTAAAACTACATGTAAATAGAAACATTTACATATAAACTAACATAAACATAAAATGTCAAAACTGTATATTCAACAGGATTTACAAAGTTGTGCCTTTGGTACTTTTTACACATGTACACATGGTACTTTTTAACTGCTTGCCTCATGATAAACGATCCAAAAATGCAAGGAATTATCTCGTGTGTTTCAAAATAGGGCTTTTGGGGAATAATTATAATTAATTATAATTGTTTGCACTTATATAGCACTTTTCTGGACACTCCACTCAAAGCGCTTTACATGTAATGGGGATCCCCTCCACCACCACCAATGTGCAGCATCCACCTGGATGCTGGAATGTTAGTAAAAGAGCCCAGTGATTTGGATGACACTCCTTCCAGCCTGGGCTGAGTCCTGGCCAGCTCACCACAGGATTCCACAGGGCAGCAGACAGGCCAGGCACCAGAGGGGGCTTCAGTAACAGGAGAGATATCAGTGACAGGCTGCTCCTGTAGCTCCTGCTGACACTCCAGTACACCGCTGTGGAGTGAAATTGTGCAATGAACATTTTTAACCAAACAAGCTAGGCTGCCTGTCCAGTAGCAGACATGTGGAGCTTTGTGTTGTGTGATTATTTGTGTAATTGAAGGAGGAGTAATTGTGTTTCCTCATTGCCCTTGCTGCACATAAGCTATATCCATAAAGGGTTTATGTTTGTGAGGAAAGCATATAGTCAGACCAACTAGGACACTAGAAAACTTTTGTTTCAACTAATTAATCTATTTTTGGGGAAGTATTTTTCATATGTTGCATACACTACATTAAAAGTTCAAGTGAACAGGAATTTATTTTAATCTTTTCCTGTTCACAGTCTATACAACTCCCTTCAGCAAGGTTGTTCTAGGTGCCTTTAAAAATATTTATTCTGTAAATATTTGACACATTTATTTTATGGAGCAAATTGTCTTTTAATGGATAGTCATGGTAATGCATTTTTAACTATGAAAATGCTTCACATAAGACAAACACGCTTTATTGTTTTCTTTATACAATAATGGTTTTAGAGCCTCCTGGACATTTTTTATTAGCCACAAATAATGTTAAAAGTATAAATCTGAATTTGATTATTATTACCATTATGGGTTTGCAATAAACAAAATGAGTGCCGCAGGCGTTGAGTTTGGTAAAAATCTATTGAAATTCTAATTGAATAGAGAATTATGCATTGCTCAAAGACATTCCTGAAACTGTTTTCTTTCACTGTAACTCAGACAGCACTAGCAGGGTGTCATTGGTGTGCTTCATAAATACACTGAAACGTGTTTGTGGCTAACATCAACTGTTTCAGACCTGACGTTAGGCCACACACAAACTACACAATCAAAACCCAAGATCTTGTTCAGCCATGATTATGTTTGCCCATCTAACTAGACTATTGCATGATGTCTGCTTCATCAACACAAATTTCTTGCATAGTTTAAACTTCAGCTTTTCTGTATAAGACTCTGGGAGCTTTGTGTTTCGGATTATTTGAATTACACATCTGGTCATTTGTGTAATTGAAAGTAAAGCACATTGCATTGTGTTTAGAAGCTTAAAAGAGTAAGTGTTCCTCCAGGATTTGTATCCGTAATGATTTGTATTTGTTGATTTCATGTAAAAGGTTATCCATCCATCATCTGAAATCCGCTTATTCTTGGGATGGGTCAAAGCAACCCAGATCTATCCAGAAGCAGAGTGTGCGAGGCAGAACTAAGCCCTGGATAGGACCAAGTCCATCTCAGGCCACGGACACACACTCAGACAATTTACACACATCAATGAACATAGCCAGCAAGTCTGTGGGAGGTTGCAGGAAACCGGATCACCTGGAAAAAGTCACATAAACATACAAAATCCCGTCATAGAATAAATAAATCTGCCTTTTGGTAGCCCATTACCAAAACTTGATTCAAATTGTAAAGTTCATACCTATAGGGACAGGACTCTGAAATTCTTTTCCTTAAGATTTTAGAATCATATTTATAGGATTGTTCTACAGTTGTGACTACAACAGTTAAAAGTTATCTTTTGCCAAACAGCCATTCCTCTTTATGCTAAGGACAGATATTTCATATTTTGTGTCATTTCAAGTCTAGTTTAATAACCATGAAAGCATAAAATAAAAAACAGAAGAGCTATGGGTCTAGTCACTGCTATTTTTAGAAGGTTGGTCTTTTCCTTTAGCTGAGTGTTGGGGGAGTTGAACCTTGTGATGAATGACTGAAGTGTACTTAAGTATTGCTCTTGGGTTCCGGGTGCCTGGCAGTGCACTCTGAAGTGAGTCATACGTCAAGACAGTTCCCGGACTGCTCCTCTTTTCCAATCTTGTTTATTTCCTTTGCATGAACCGTGAAACCATGTCCTGCTCAGGTCTGTGCAGTAAACATCAGTCAGGCTGCTCCTGGCTGAAGCTCAAATCTGAAGTGCTCTCACCTGTGACACATTTAAAACTGTGTGATTGAGCCACCTGCTTTCAACTGCTTCTGCACTTTTGAAGGTATTCAGTAGGAACCCCAATAAGTTTGGGAAATGTCATGGTTTTCAATGTCTAAATCAGGAGAAGGTTTGTATCTGGATAAGCATTACATGCTTAAAGCCTTCAAGGTTTCCAGGAGTCCATTCATGCCAAATGTGTATCAGTGATTTTTATTATTTGAATTAAATGGGTCCTTTTAGTTATCATGGGTAGCATATTTATTTGCTTTATAATGTATTCACAAATATTTTAGGAGTGTTCCAGCATTTATTTTCTTTTTCACAGAAACTACACGGTTGTGAATTCCAAAATCATTGCAGTAACTGTGAGACCTGAGCCCAAGATTGCTGAATCACACCTGGAAATAGAGTTAGCTCATTTGGCTAATGTAAGTATTGTGATTATTATTAATATTTTCAATAGTTATAGTGATAATAATAAAATGGATTGTTATAGCAGACACACACCACCCTTGGAAATGTTTAATTATATTGTGTTCTCTGGGAGTAATAGGTCCTATTCAAAGTTATCCAAAGTAATGAAAGGGCTCAGCTTTTGGTACTGTACTGTACATTCCAGTGGCCATCTGTGGGCTGCGGGGCTATTGCTTGGTTATCGTGAACTATTGGTTCCCTTTGGCTGCTTGTCAGCATGAGAATGCAGGCACAAGTCTCGCTCTTGCTCAGTCAGTTCCGGGGGCAGGATGAACAATCAATCTGTTGGGTAAAGTTTGAAAACAAAGAGTGTTTAATTTAGAAAGAGAATAGAAATCTCAATTATGGAAATTTTTGTTTTTATTTCTTTTGTAAATAAATGCAACTTTTTTTTCCTGATTTGACTGAAAGGACACTGATCTTTAAGTCATATGTGGCCCAGCCTGGCACTTTGTCCAGATTCCTGAAGGATATAAAGTAGTAGCAAATATGTCCTTCTCAGTACTGTAAAATGTAAATAGTCAATAAAAATCAATAGTCAATAACCATTTTATTTGGGATCATGTACTTCACAACACTTTTCTGCTGAGCACAAATTATACTGTATACTTAACAGTACTGTTTATCAACAAAAACTGCCAGTGTGTAGAAAATAAACTTCTGGGGTCCTATGTCCAATGATTGCCCCCTCCAGGCATGATTATTATTACACAGGCCCCCAAAGACACAAGTTACTTGCTTACTTAAGTAAACAGCCCCCAAATTTTACATCTAGGTAATATATAGTATGGTGACCTATAAAATTAACTGGATTGGGTCTCTCCAGGATCAGGGTTGGAGACTCCTGATATAGTGAAATTGATACCATGATGGAGCATATTTTTTAGTGTTCACTTGCTTTCTTTACATTTTATATTATTGTAACATTGTAGAGTCTTTTATCATGGTACTACAATCAATAACTGAAGTTATAATAACTATATAGGGTATAGCAACATGGAGCTTTATATTGCAGTGTTAACAAAGCCATCAAATCAAATCAAGTGTAATATAATTGGCAAATTATAAAGATTATTTCTGTTGCAGTCAATGTTTAGAAATCCCAGAGAAACCAATCTCAGCATTTCTTTGGATAACTTTAGCTTGTGATAATAAAGTTTTCTCAACTTTCCCAAGAATGCTCAGCATCCCCTTGTATTCCGGAGGACAAATGACTTTAGGTTTCTTTTTCTTCTTTTCTCTCATTATTTTATCATCTCTGCCATAACATACAGTAGGCATACCTGACAACAGGAGACGATCAATTAAAACCACATTAATCAATGAACAATGGACTGTAATTGGTTCAATAATTAATATACAGCTGCTAGGGGTTGGGCCTTTCTGTCAAGAGTCTTAAAAGCACAGAAGAGCTTGCACTGATAATTAAAAAGGTAGCTCATTTATGATCTTGCCCTTTTGTTAATCTCTTAGATAAAAGCCCATCAGTCGGGGACATCTTTCAAGGTTATTTTAAATGCTAAGGATTATTTGGACAGACACTTTAGCTTTATAGACATATCTGTAACTTGTTTGTTATTGAAAAATATAGTTTTTCTCACACCTTTAAAAAGCTGCAAAAAACACAGATTAACTTTTATCATGTTTTTTTTTCAGGGATCTATGAACCCTTACTGTGCTCTTTGGGATAGCTCCATGATGTAAGTTAAGAGATTTTATTTTTGTATGCAAGCAGGAATTTTGATACAGCATGTTAAATGAGAAAAAAATCCTGTTTTTATAAGAAGAACCTTTACATTTATGTCAGTTAAAACATAGAGATAGATTTTAGTTTTTTGGGCATTAATTAAATTTATCTTAATTTGGAATCTATGACTGATGAAATGATTGTTAATTGGATACAGAGCTACGTAGGAGGAAAGCAAGTGCTTCTTAAAATAAGCTTTGGTAATGCTGTAATAGTACATCATCTCAGATTTACTGTTAAGGAATCTTATGTTGTTTTTTTTTAATTACTGCAAACCGCTTTAAGGTGATAAAATTAAAGCTTCTTTCAGAATATCATCATAAAATGAATGTTCTTTATTTTCATCCAAAGCTTTGCCATAGGCTATGCTACCACTTCCATGATCATGTCCTCTGGGCCTGACATTATTTATCTATTAAATTATTTTATGGCGATTATTCTGCTGTGAATAATGCTGTGAAAAGCAGTAGAGCTATGGGTATAGTTGCTGTTATTTTTAGAAAGTTAATCTTTATCAAAAAAATAAAAACACAGATAAGAACATTTGAAAGATTGATTCTGAAAATTAACTGACAGAATATATTTTGTAAGTAGGGGTAGGGATCTCAGTTCTAGTTCTCTGCTCTCAAGGAGAATATTCTAATGGCCATCAGTGTACTTGTTTTATTCTTCTTTTAAAGTTTTGCTTGTCCAGGCTGTGTTTTTCCACTGAAATTATATCCTACAATGAGTACAAATGCTGGTATCTAGTCCAATCTGCCTTAAAACTAAAGTGAAACAATTGAGATCAAGAAGTCAGATCTCATTCTGAGTCATTTCCATCTGGTCAAAATGGGCACTTTCTTAATTTAGGGTTTTGTATTTTTAATAACCTCTTGCAGTCCATTTTTAGCTTCCTCTGAAAGGCATGCCAGAAGAAGTGAACAAAGCTGACCCTCAGAAAGGCAGTATCCTGGAGTTGATCCACTCTGGTTCATCTCAGATTATGAACAGGAGCTCCTGTGTGTAGGTCCAATGTTTCAGTAAACTGGGCAATGTAAGAATTGCTCGTTTAAAAGGTCTTTAAAAGTCTGTTTTAATAGATATATTATGAATAGCAAAATGGGTTTAAATAGTATATTATTACCTTTTCTGTTTATCTTGATTTGATATTGCCTAAAATGACCTTTTTCCTGTATGATTCAGGTAAATGTTTATTTATAGACCACAGCCTACAGCTACAGCGCTGAAAGTTATCACACTCAGGAGTAAATTATTGTGTTCTTGACTTACAGATACTCTCAAGGGCAGAAAAGTTAAAGGTTGCCTTAGAAGAATACAGTTTGTGCAGAATATCCACAAGAAGTATTTCAATTAAAAGCTCCAGGTTCAGGGCACACACTGATCCCTGCAGTATAGGCACCCTCAGCATGACTCTTAGCCGGCTATGTCCAGACATCCCCAAGCACTGATTTTGCAGGAGTTGATGTTCACACTGCTGTAGGCATGGTGAGGCTTGATACTGTATGTGAAAAACAAGAACTGTGCAATAGGCGCACATTTTGGAGGAGTGCAGGGTGTTCATCTCTTACAAGTGTTACATGGGCTGTAGGGGGTCAGTTAATTAATTTATATTTAGGTATTAGAAATTAGGTGGAATCTTAACAATATTAAACTTTTTAATATGTTTATTGAAAAAACAAGCTAAGCCCCCAGAGGTCAATGTCCTCATTGAGGTGGAAGGAACAACACACTTGGAAAGACTTGTGCTTTAGGACTGGAAGCCAATAGTGACCAGTGAACCCCAGAGTAATGTTGTCTGAAGTCTAATGCTGCTGACTGGGTCTCAAAAATGACCCTCATGCAGTTTCATAACTGCTCACATACTGTATCCGGTACTCTGGGACACATCCTTGGAGCCAGACCTGGTGATGTAATATAATCTGGCCATTTCTCTGAGGAGAAAGGAGTTGGAGTTGGCAGAGGAAATGGAAAAGTACCTCTAGATCAGCTCTGGTACAAGGGCAGTCTTTTTCCTGCTCCAGAGTGTTCCTGCAGGAGCAGCTCTGGGCAGGTGTGAAGGCACTTCAAGACCCTGGACTGAGTGCTGTGTAGCTGGGACGTGTCCCAGTGGATGAGGAGGTTGCATTGATGATTCTGGGTCTCAGAGAGTAAAGGTCTTACTGCACATTTGCACCTAACAGCTGTTCAGAATATTTTTTCTTCGTGGAGACGAAGTTATGTGTTGATTGGATACTACCAACCAACCCTGTAATTATACTGGGTAACTTCAATTTTCACAGGGGAATGATTGAGATTCCTCAAAGGTGTGATTGGGAAGAATATCCTCTCCAGTCTGAACCTTGTTATTACAGGTATTAGTCCTAATAGTTATAGGATGTTTTTGTTATTGTCTTGTTGTTCATAATTGAAGAAAACACTGAGCATGTGTTTACGTGATAAAAGAGCACCTCGGGCCAAAAGTCATTTTATATTTGATAGTTCTACCTTCAAACCATCATAGACTTTATATTTAAGACACTCAGGCGAAGAAAGTGGCAAAGCTGTCATCACTGCTTGACAATGAGATGGACACTGGCTGGATAGACATGGGAGGCCTAACCAATCAGTGCGGTTTGCTTGGGAACATTTGGCAGAAGACCCTCTGTGGAAAAGGAGAACTTTTCATGTGTCCTGGTTGAAGTCTTGGACATTTTTGTCCAAAAAGAAAATAAAGGTGATGCACGCTTTAATGTTTTGCTGCTACTGTATGTGTGAGGAGGCAATGATGAGTACATTTAAATCTGAGGTGATATCTCTCTCTTGGAATAAAGTAGTTTGCTTAATCTAGTTGAGGGAGGAGTAGCTGCCCTTAGTGGAGGTGTTAAAGCACTTTATGGTTTTGTTCATGAGACGTGGCAAGTAACAAGAAAGGCTGGCGCTTTTCAACACTGCTTCAAGACTGTGGACACAAGCAGTGTAATTAAATGTTTCCGCAGCAGGTTTGCTACCGTGAATTGAGAGAAACAAATTGAGCTGTAGGGCACCTGGTTAGGATACCGCTGGGAGCTTCCACTGAAGAAAACTTGAGGTCATCCCAGCACATGCTGGAGGAAGTATAACGCTCAGCTGGCCTTGGGAAGCTTAGGGCACCTTTAGAAGTACAGGTGATCCTTCCAATGTAATCCTTCTTAATAGCTCCAGTGCCGTTTTTAATTCGTTTTCTCTGATTTATGTAAATTCCTTGATTATTTTTATTTATGAGTCTTAATTTAATATGACTGCTATATAATTCATAATATCTTAAGTTTATCAAAGTGAAACAGTGCTGCTGCTGAAATGTGAGATACTGTAGGCAAAAGATGTCTCCCAGCACAACAGATGTATACTGATAAGCAACTAAAGAAAGCTCATTTAGTCTATTTCGTTTGTATTGAATAAACCTTCATTAGCCTGGGCGACCATGTATAATCTGAGCTCTTATACTGAATTTCAAGTTAGTGGATCTACTTGCTTTGGGTTAGAGGCAAAGTACAACAGGAAAATCAGACAGAAACCTGAAAAAAATCAGCTTTAACTATGACTTTTTATTGGATTTATGGTGCACATCTCCTGTTTCATGACTTTGATAGCTTTAATATAACAGCAGGATTTGTCTGATGGTTTTAATACAACAGTGAGACTGGATTATTGAAAATGTCTGATCCTCACTATTCTTTTCTCAGTTTGCTTTTTGTAGTTTTAATAATTTAATCCACAACAGAGGGCCATTACGAAACATAACTATTCTGCCCCATGGATTGATTTTGCAAGGATTTAAATACTTTTAAGCTTAACGTAATAAATGGTGTGAGCAGTTTTAAGCAGCCTAGGTTAGATAAACAATGTAAGGGATTGAATGTCTGCCAGATATAGAATTAACGGATTTCAAGATAAAAAAGCCCAAGGAGGCAACAAAGAAATGAAATGCCTAGTGAAACGACAAGCAGTTTCCTTTTTCTAAGTCCTGGAAATGCAGGGGATTTGAAAGCTGTCTAGTTAGATTACAGAAAGACTAGCACTGAATCTCTCTAACAACATGCTGGCATTTTTTTATTCCCAGACTGAAACATTAATAAGACATGGAAAAGTGTGTTCTTCCTTAACTTAAAAGGCATGAGGCCCTGCTTGTGTTGAGAAGAAAGATACTGTAACATGAGCTTGCTCTTTTAGGAGTTTTCCCAAGCAAAGAATGTGTGCAGCCTCTCAACAATTCTGCATGGTCCTTGCATCGTATTCTCACACATGCCTCCTGTCAGGAAAGAAAAAGAAGGAATAGGATACTGATCTAAACCAGAACCTTTTCCTTTAACCAAGCCTTGTTTTTATTTCTTCATGAAATCAATATCATATTAATAAACACTTAAGTTGATCTAACTTGGTCTTCATAAGGAGTGCCTAATTATTTATGTAACAGTGCTTCAGGGGGATTAATGATGTATACCAGCTTGCAGCAGACTACTCTTTAAAATGGATTCTCCTCTATGACAAGTGCCGACACTTCCATAAAGCACCATTAGGAAACTAGCAAGACTGGTGACTTATTAATATTCAGTGTGAATGCTATCCCATCTCCCACTGCTCTCCAATGAATAATCCAGCATTTCACAGAGTTTGTTTTTCTATTCATTTTAATTTCTTCAAAATCATTGTTACATTTTTATTGTTTCTCGAATGTTTTACATTCCAGTGTGAAATAAGAAATCATAAAATTATACTTAGAGGCATATTTTACTGTTCATAAAAATTAATCAATGAAACGTGTTGGAGTTCCTAAGCAGTAGGGTAACAGACACTATCGGTTCTGTCGTGCTATATTGAAACACCTACCTAATACATTTGTTTAAAGGCAACGTTCATGTAAAGCGCTCACTAATAATATCACATTGAGTTTTACAAGTGATTAAAATATTTTTAAATACACAAAGTTCCAAA